CCTGTCAAANGGGGGGGGGGGTTAGGTTTAATTGTCTTAACATTCGATTCTGTAGCATTACTACTATTGTTAGTATTTATATCTTTATTGCATGCATTAGTTTTATTATCTAAGGTAGAGTTGTTAAGTTTCTCACCCTTCTTGCTAGCTTTGGGTTGATGTTGTTGCTGTTGTTGTTCTTTAGTGCGTCTAAGTTTACCAAGCGCCTTGTTGATTTCTGGGTTGGCGTTTTTATTGGGTAGGATAAAAACTTCGTCATCTGATCCGAGTGAAAGATCTCCTTCCAGAATATCCATTTCTTCGTCGGTAGCATCGTCATTGACTAGAGCGCTGAACCGATTTTGGTCTGCAAACAGTTGTGTGGTTGCAAGTGAGGGAACTTTGGGGAACTTGGTCTTCTTACGCCGGGGAGACGGAGTTCCTAGTTGAAAAGCTTGTACTTGTGCTTGTGATTGGGTCAACAGTGTGAGTTGTTCAGAGACATTTTTGAGTTGCGCAGAAAGTTGTTCTACCTGTGCCATCAGTTGAGTGTTTTGTTTCTTCAGAAAGTCTATCATTGCATTAGCAGCGTCCAGTAGGTTATTTTCGGGTAGGTTGACATTTGAGGTCTAGCGAGAGTCAGCTGGGGCAGAGTGGGTCAAAGTAGTCTGGGGCTGAACCGAGACTGAGATGTTATCAGAGGTGCCATGCGCTGGATTCATCGTTGATGTGTCAGAGACGTATAATCGTATGAAACTTCATTGATATAAATTAATGAATTAAAAAGCAAAGGGCTAAAATAATGTGTTTCTTGGTGACCCTTGCGTGCACATGGGTTTGGGGTTGCTCTTCGATTTATTTACACATTACGTATTTTTCCAGGAAAACGTTGGGAGATAATGTAGTAACAAATAAGGTTTTCTTTTGCTTTTTAATTCATTAATTTATATCAATGAAGTTTCATACGATTATATGCGGTCAATGTGAATAAATATCGGGGGAAAATGTACGTAAAATGAGGGGGGGATAGTGATCGGAACTGCTTGCGGATGAAGAATTAAAAGTAAAATGTTACGTGATCATGCGGAAAATAAAAAGTCGAGGATCGAACCCGGGACATCACTATCATGGAACCAGCACGTGTGCAGTAGGGCTCCGGACTCCGCTTAAACCTTCAGGCCGATAAAACGGTACAAGAGGCTGCTTCAGTGTTGCCAAGCGCCGCACGACCAAATCACACGCCGAAAACGCAACTTTTGGGAATTTTTTACGCCCTTCCTATTTGCGCATTCGGGAAAACGGCTCAACTTAACCTCTAGAATTGGTCCAGAGAGCCTGGAAAAAAAATTCAGCCCAATCGGAGGCAGCAGGTCCGTAAGTTCCCCTTGTGAGTGTAAACAATGCGACATCGTAGCTACCTGGTGGGGAGAGGGGGCTTCCTGGCCGAAGTGCTCGAGCAAGGTAAGGCGACGGCGACGCGGAGTGCCCATTTACCTCCGCCGCACAGAAAATAGTCCGGGTTCAATCGCGAATATCTCAGCTTCTACTCGTAAAAGTGAGCTAATTTTTTGGCTTTCCCTTAATTATGAACTTTATAACAATCTATTAAAGTTTCATCAACTTTCATGGAGAGCCGCTGAGCCCATGCTCTGTGCGGGGTTCTTTGGGACAAATGTAGGCAATTTGCACATTTAAAGTCCTCCTAAATTTTTATTTCAGTCCGAATAAAGTGGAGAATAGCATGTAAATAGTCAACAATAGTGTGGAAAATGAGAAACAAATTTGATCTGTCCATGTTTCTCAGATTATGACGATTAAAACAGCTGGGGACACCAGATTAGACGCGTATTTGAACTCACCCAGGTATTAATATTATCAGGAAGTAGAAATACGTGTCATGTATTGTTTTTGGATCGGATGAAATACATTAAGGGAGCATCGCAGCCCATTTTCCAAAGTTGCCCTGAGTGGATCACCTTAGCGCATGATGCCTTGCGCGGCACCAATGAATCCGCTCCGTTGTGACCCCCTCACCCCCCCCCTCCCCATGGGTCACGTGTGTGATTTTCTCATTCAAAATAGGCCTCTAGGTACCTCCATCAGTGAGAGTCAAGTTTTTTTTCATTTTTGTGCATTTTAAAATCGAAAAACGAAATACCGCGGATCGGCCCATTTTCGCCCCATTTAAATTAATGTAATTTTTTTTTGAGATTTTCGGCCTCACGGTGGCACGTGTTAATAATGTAGGAGAACCAAAATATTTGGCGGCTATCATATTTGGATGGTAAGGAAAGAATTTAGGATAATAAGTAATTTTTTACTAAAACCAATTCTTTTCGAGTTATTTACGAAAAACCGAGGAAAGGTCAATTTTCGTGGGGTTTTTCTGGGGGCCGGGGGGTCGAGCGTACAAGGGATATTTAGGGACTTTTTGCCGGGAGTCAATGAACAACTTGGGCACATAAAACCTTATATATAAACTAGCCGTCCTGGACGCGCTTCGTGCGTCCGTCACGGCCAGCCAAGGGGCTGCGCCCCCTGGACCCCTGATCACTCGCTACGCGAATGACATTCGGCTCGCTCCGCGAGCCATTCTTCTCAGTGATTGGACATTTGATGACTAAGATGTATACATTTTGGAGACTCTTGAGGCAAAAATTTTCGTCACAGAACCTTTTTGCCGGAGCGTGCCATCATTTGCACGTGAATAGATGTGTGGAGGTGAAGCGATGATGGGGCTCGATCGTTTCTTCAAAAACGCATTTGACTGGGACGTCATCCCTTCGGACGGGTGGCGGAAAAAGACAATCCATGGATCTCCTTCCGCGATTTGACTTGCTGAAGTGGCAAAAGTTCATCTTTACTTCTTAAGAAGATTATCGGTGGCGTAGAAGTCTAAAAACTGCTCAACGATGCTATAGTTCGAGTTCCGAACCGCAATGAGCCCACTCGTGTTTTTTCTTATACTTTCATCGCATGTAAATTTCTCTGATGTTTTTGTTTTATTCTCTCTGATTGCATATTAGTAATCATATCCTCATTTCATTTCCTTTCCTTTCCTTTTTCCCTTTCTAGAGCATCTATGTCCATTTACAATTATTATTTTAAAATAGCTTTCCTCTAGTATACAATTGATGCTTCAAACGGAATGAATTGTTTTAATGACATTTCCGGCTAAATCATGGGTTTTCCCAGGAAGGCAGCCTCTCGTCCCTCCCGGACTCTATTGTTGCCAGATAAGTTGCTTTTTTAGCACTTTTTCCAATTCAAATCCATGTAAAATATTCACATTATCGCACAATCTGGCAACCTCTCGAGTAAAATAGAAACAGGTAGAATCGCTGAAAGTCTGAATCCTTCGAAGTTTATATTAATGATTTATTTTTCTATTTTTCGTATAATGCGTGGACTAAGGTGCACTTACACTTCGAGGACTCTTTCACTAACACTGATTAAATCACTAAATGTACAGGTTTATCTTTAAATCTTTCTGGGGCGAGGGAGAGAGACAAGTGACGGACGAGGAATCGAAAATATAAGGTGTGGGGTAAGTTGAGCTCACAGCCTGCGTGCAAGGCGAAGCAAAGCAAACATGATTCCCCAGCGCTGAGCGGCGCAGCAGGCGCCGCGAGAATGAGCCTACTGTCTCCCAGCGTTAGTAGGTAAAGGGAGAAGAGACTTTCTTCTTTATTAGGCTTCAGCGGCACTTTTTTCAAAATTTGATTTTTTAGACATGTTCTGATGGGTTCTAGGCTTCATGTTTGCCAAGTTTGAAAGAAATCACTTTTGCAGTTTTTTAGTGTTGATACTCTTTCAGTACCGTAGCTTTATATTACACTATATAAAGCTGCCGCACCGGCTCACTGTGCTACCCCCGCCCCCCCTTAGAAGAAAAACGGCCGAAGCAATTTCCTTTAAACGTGGCTCACGCCTACCGGCCTACATACCTACTGTAAAACTGAGCGGAAAAAAATCATGAGCTAAAGCAAAATTTGTCCAGGACGCCCGCAAGAGCGAAAACATGTTTTTCCTTATAGTATAATGCATTGGGGATACGCGGCTGTTTATGCGCACCGTACTAAACGGGTTCAATCGTGTCGCTTGACATCACAGCAGTTGGTAGCGGCACCATAATTATAGACGAAATGTCAGGTATCAGGGGGTATTTTGCGACGGGTTTCTGTGTAAATTCCTATCCTATGGAACGTTCCGACAGGAAACTTGAATTTTTGGTCAGATTTTCAAATTTCTGAACTCCAATATGGTGGTCGGGGCCTTAAATGCTGTGTTGGCTCCTGTTCTGTCGATTGTTAAGAAATTCGGTTTCAGTGGGTGTTTCTCGACGGGAAACTTGAATTTATGGTCAGATTTTCAAAATTCCAAAATCCAAGATGGCAGCCGTGGCCTAAAATGCTGTCTCGGCTCCTGTTCGATCGATTTTTGTGAAACTCGGTATCAAAAGATATTTTTCGACGGGAGACTCGGTGTGAAGCGTACTTTTTGACGAGAGACTCGTTTTTTCCGTTAAATTTTCAAAATCCCGAAATCCATGATGATAACCATGGCTTAAAATTCTTTGTTGGATTTAGCGTTATAAATTTGAAGAAAAAGAAAATGAAGACGAAGATGTTTTCTTCTCTCTGAAAGTTATAGCGATGAGAGACGGCTCGCGGAGCGAGTCACATTTTCATCGCTATGCAAGGAACTGGGGTTCAGGGGCACTTTCCGGCTAGGCGATGCGAGCTAATTCTGACTAGTCTTTAATATTCTTGTCGTTTTTCAGCTGAAGAATATTGATTTTATGATATTTTCACCATAGACGCTATTAGTGGCACGTCACAGAAAAGCGATATATATCGATGTTTTCTCATTGGTAGCATTGAAATACGTTATGCCAATGTTATTGTTTGGATCCAATTCAATGAAATGGAGAATTCCTATAATGACGTCACCACTAAAGCGTCTATACTCATCTAGTCAAAACTTTCCACACATTGCTTTATTTTCATACTATTTTTCAGAGTGTCGGGAACATTTATAAAGGGCTTGCACAAACAGGTGCTTGGGGATGTTTTGACGAGTTTAACCGTATCTCTGTAGAGGTACTCTCGGTTGTCGCTGTTCAGGTGAAGACAGTATTAGATGCGATCAAGAGTAAAAAGACAATATTCAATTTTCTTGGCGAATCAATTAAACTAGTACCAACCGTTGGGATGTTCGTCACCATGAATCCTGGCTATGCTGGTCGTGCTGAGCTGCCTGAAAATTTGAAGGCCTTGTTTAGGTAAACAATTTCAAACAATCTCAGTCGTTGTGACCTGACTTTAATAGTTGTTTCTGTTGGAGTGCTATACATTCGTATTTCCCGCATTTGTGATGTAAATTGATGTGTTACACCGGTGACTTCGGTATATCACCACTTTTCTGTACTTGTACCAATAAGGATAATCATGTCCGCTGTATTCGTGGTCAGTAAATGTATCGCTATAAATCGACGTTGTTGTTCATTAAAGTGAAACCATGCAAACTTTCAACAGATTCGAGATGACTAGCGTCCCTTTATAGTGAGAGTCAAGACAATGTGAATCCATTACCGATTGGTTCCTGTATTTTAGGCCTTCACAGTGTCACAAACGGGAATAAAGATTACATCTTCACCAATTGCAAAGATTATAATGTAGAATGGACTGGGGAATAACGGGCTCGACAAGGAACAGACGGAATAAGAGAGGGAACGGAGAAAGGATTTTGAGAATGAGCCGATCAAAGATTACGAAGAACAGTCAATTTGTGCAATCTTTATTCCCGTTCGTGACTTCATGAGGAGGGTTGTCTTTGACTCTCAGTATAAACGGACTCTAGTGATGACTACTAGTGAAGTATTTGATTTTAATAAAGGTGTAAAACAGGGAGATGGACTATCAGGCACCCTTTTCCTAGTTGCATTGCATCTAGCTGTAAAACATATCGATCAAAGGGGAACAATATTCAGCAAGTCCAGCCAGATATGCGCATATGCAGACGATATAGCGCTAATATAGCACGTACGAAAGAGAGATTAATTGAAATGTACAAAGAATTAGAGAAGAGAGCCAAACACTTGGGCCTGATAGTGAATGTCAGCAAGACCAAGTATATGGTATTGGCAAAATCAGAAGTGAGAAGAAAACCATGCAGTCTGTTCATAGACCAGAAGGAATATGAAGGCGTGGAAAAATTCAATTATCTCGGCAATATGTTGGATAGCGAAGCAAAAACAACGACAGGAATTAAAGACAGGATACAGGCTGGAAACCGAGCCTATTACGCAAACCCGAAGATGCTAAAGAGCAAATTGTTTTCCAGGAGAACAAATATGCAAATTTACAACACGTTAATAAGACCAGTAGTAACGTATGGTGGTGAAACCTGGACCATGATAGAAGGGGACCAGCACATGCTGAGGCAATTTGAACGAAAAATTATTTTAAGAATTTATGGAGCGGTGAAAAACAATGAAGAATGGCGAATTAGAAGCAATGAAGAAATAGAAATGATCCTAAAAAATGAAGATATCGTAAGGTTTATCAAATCGCAAAGGGTAGGCTGGCTTGGTCATGTACAAAGAATGGAAGGAGAAAGGATGCCGAAAAAGGTGCTGAAAGCTAAAATATTGTCCGCAAGAAAGAGAGGAAGACCTGGGCTTCGGTGGCGAGACAAAGTTGAGCAAGACCTGAAGAAAATGCAAGTAAAAAGATGGATTGAAAAAATCAAAGATAGAGGGATGTGGAGGGGAATCGTTATGGAGGCCAAAGCCCACCCTGGGCTGTAGCGCCGTTAGTAAGTAAGTAAGTAAGTGATGACTACTCCTGTTATGTTCAATAAATGAATGAACGCACTTTGAGGAACTAGCTACTTATTCATAGTTACTAATTAATCAGACTTAATTAGGAACACGCCATTCCGACTGCAGCAGCTGATAACGGATAACAGATAACCTTTAACTTGCGCATGCGCACTATCCTTTCAGGTGTGACATTACAGTGCTTGCCAACCTGACTATACTAATACTAGATTTCACTATCACAACTCCTTTTTTTTTTTTTTTTTTTTTTTTTTTTTTACACAGGTTAAACATATAATTTGCCACTAATTTCTTTACCTAGTTACATAACCCTTAAGATAATTTGGAGGTTTTCCAACTCTTTGCTCTTCTATAATTATTCTGCCTCGCATTAACCCTCTACTCGCGATTTTACATAATCCTTTCTGGAATCTTGGTAATTTATAATTGGACTTTGATAATCTGAACTAATGCTTTCTTGTTGATCATCATTAGAATTTCGATCAATTTGAGAAGTACCGGGACTTTCAAACAAAAATTGGATATCTTCTTCTAACTCATTTTCTAAGGCCTTTTGTTTTTGTACTTCTGCTGTTTTTTCCACCACGATGCAATTATCCTTAGTGTCCTCTGTTCGAGGTTTTTTCAAGATTTTATTACCACTATTTAGACTATTTTCATTGTGACAGTCTTCTCTAGGTTTGATAAATAATCGATTTCTCCTGTATTGTTTTCCATTTTTACTTTCTATTACACAAGATCGGGGTTGCTGAAATTTTTTAACAATTTTGCCTGGTTCCCATGCACCTTTCCATAATTTTTTAAAGAATACTTGGTCTTCTGCTTGGAATTCTGATAATTCTCCATGACCTCTGTGATATTTTTTCATTAGCTCCACCTGTTCAGTTTTCAGGTTATGAAATGTCTCGCGTGGGATTGCTTGTGGTTTTAGCCTAGATTTATCAACATGCATTTTTATTCTGAAATTACGCGACATTAACTGTTTCACAGGGGAGGGCATTTTGCCTTTAGCTGAATTTCTAAAATTTAACAAAGCTATGTAGGGATCTTGCTTTGATTCTACACAGTTTTTTAACATTTTCTTCAGTGTTTGAATTCTTCTTTCAACTAAACCATTGGATTGAGCATACTGAGAGCTGGAAGTTTCAGATTTTATTGACCATAGATTACAAAATGTAATAAATTCGTCAGAATTAAATGGAGGCCCACTGTCAGAAAAAAATAATTTCAGGAATTCCGTTCCTAGCAAATATGGATTTAACCCGTGTTATGAGGCTACTGGCCTTAGCACTACTGATTTTTGCTATTTCTGGATATTGAGAATAGTAATCCACTATCACTATGTACACACCTTTGTTGAATACCATATAATCCATGCCTACTTTTTGATAAGGATAATCTGCAAGTTCGTAGGGAAGCAGGCTTTCTCGTTTATTCTTGTTCTGAAACATATTACAGACATTACAATTTTGTACCCTTTCTTTAATTTCTTTTGACATGTGCGGCCAGAAAATTAGACCTCGGGCTTGATTCAGTGATCGCTGAATACCAAAGTGACCTTCATGCACAATTCCTAGCATTTTTTCTGTTAACTCAGACGGAATTACTGCTGCTAAGTTTTTATAGAGAATACCATTATGGTATGGCAGTTCATCTCTACAGTGAAAATAGTGCTTTAGCTCACCTTCCACTCTTTCTGGCCACTCTGATCAACAGAAATCAATTACTTGCAGTCAAATTGAGTCATTATTATACATCGATCTTATTTCATCTAGTTTTTCCTTTGACATGGCCAGATTTTTAGTTATTACACTTATGTGTAAATTCGTTTTACGCTCAATTTCTTCCATAATTTCAGCTCTGCTAGTTGGAGCTCTTGAAAAGCTGTCTGATATATACATTTGTTTTCCAGGTACCTAAATGTTTTTTTTTGAACGTTATAGAGTTCGCAACAATTTTAGTCGAATTCTTTGTAGAGTTATTGAACGTTTACTAATTTCTCTTTTAAACAATGTAATTATTGGCTTATGGTCTGTTTCTACGGTAACTGTCTACATAAACAAATTGTCATGAAACTTAGTACAACCAAATAAAATCACACGTCGTTGCACACATAAAGATTTAAAATTTTGCCTTCCAAATCTCCCAGCGTTCAGCCATGTTCGCTCCAGCCACAATTTCCAGCGGCTTTATCTTGGCAGATATCGCTTTGGTTGATCCATGAGATGCTGCTCCTCCCTCTGTCTCACCATTTGCACTTGTATTTGGCATTGCTCTTTCTTAGTGTTGGCAAACGATTTCTTGAAACTTTGCACGCTACTTTGATTGATGGCGCAATCTTAGGTCTCGGTAGTCGTCACTGGCACATGGAAGTTGCACTCGCGACTTGCGATTTTTCCGTAACCGTAATTACTTTATCGATCGCGGGAAACCATCGGGTTTCGGCACCATGTTATGCTCAAAAAATGAATGAACGCACTTTGAGGAACTAGCTACTTATTCATAGTTACTAATTAACCAGACTTAATCAGGAACACGCCATTCCGGCTGCAGCAGCTGATAACAGATAACAGATAACCTCCACCTTGCGCATGCGCACTATCCTTTCAGGTGTGGCATTACAGTGATTGCCAACCTGACTACACTAATACTAGATTTCACTATTACAACAACTACAAAAATTTTAACGCTTGTAGATCAATTGGAAATAATTTCTTTTGGTGGTGATCGTAATAAGAACTTATATCGAATCATGTGCTTTCTCCGAATACATGTTGAATTACGAACATATTCACTTGATGAGCATGTGAACGCTCTAAAGTGGAATAAAATCAAAGACGGAGAATTTAAAGTTCATATTGCTTTGGAATTCAACCGCGATTGCAATAACAATAGAAAATCACTGTGATCGATCACAGTGACTAGCTGGAAACACTTGTTATTCTGCTACCTTTATTTCTGCTATTTTTTCAGGAGTCAATTGTTTGAAAATTGATGAAACCTCGATTTTAATATGTGATGAATATGAATTTATCAGTTTACACATAGGTAGCCAATTATTACCGTTGGTTCCATGAGATTGTGATTAAAGAAGCATATTGTTCTGTTACAGTAGGCTCTTTCATCATTCAATTTCACTTAAACCCACCAGTATCATGGAACTTACATCCTGTAAATGAACTTGAGTGTTTTCTACTTTATTTTCAGTTTAAATGCCAATTTAGTAGCAGGAATATAGGATTTTTGTAATGCATTCCAACGTACAGCCCATGCCATTCCATGGTATACCACCATGGTGTCCCTTGGAACGATTTTTTGGAATTTTTAAAATCCCAAAAAAACTATTATAAAATTGACTGAACCAAACCAAAAAAATATATGTCACTAAGGACTCTCAGTAGTAAGTCATAGCGGTAAAAGATTTAAATTTTTCGAAAAAG